AAGCTACTCATTCTTTCCTTTAGATTTAGCACCAAGAGCCAAGCTAGAAGGAGATTAGTAGATGAATTACATATCGCAGAGAAGCAGGGAATATCTACAAGTGGCCCTGGCATTTGAACAACTCCATTCTGAGTCTTCTGACTGCTGGGAACTGAAGCTTGCAGTTGTTGAAGCAACAGAGCTGGTAAGAGGTCTTTGGAAATATTCGCTTCCACAGTATCTACTTGAATGGCAGCCTCTATGCTTTGCCCTTTTGTAGCTAGGTTTATTTCATGGCAAACAAGGCTTACATCTGGTCCTGAATTTTCAGAGGGTATCTGACTTGCGGTATTATGATCATTAGTAGCTGACTGTGACACGGTACAATATTCTTGCAAGGAAACTACGTGAGCATCATTCAGAGATCCAACCTGGCTCTCACAGAGATCTTTGTTAAATTCTTCACCATTAAAAAATTTACCATCTCCTTTACATAGATTACTTCCTGTCAAACTGGCACTTTTAGTTATGCGCTTACTACTTTCTATAACAAACTCATTTCCTTTTACAGAACTTGTATGGACATTATTTTCTAGAAAACCGTTATTGCTATAATTTGCCATGCTCCTTTTATTTTTGCGTATTGGAGCTGACTTTCTAGGTTCTAAAGTTGGATATGAATTTATGTTCTGTAACCATCTCTGTACATAATTTTCTGACTGATGGGCTGTATCCACAGAAAAATCAGCTTTTTTCAAAGAAGCTAAAGAATTCTCCCTGGTTTTGGCATAGTGTTTACTTACAACAGTACCTGATTTCAATTTATCCCCTTTTTGTTTTTTCTGGCTTTTTAAGGTTACACGTGAATCATAAAATTTTGGAACTAAGCTCATTTTTTCCACAACTCTCAAATTCCTAGACACTTTTTTGGCTGGAGATTGTGGTCCAAAAAAAGCTTTTGGTTTTTGCTGAAGGAAGTTAAACACATGAAATAAACTTTGATTTTCTGAAGTGCTTTTGTAGTATTTAGATTCATAATGAGGAGATACTTTATCACCTTGACTAATTTCTCTTTTTTTAGGTGCTCCTAGGCTTATTTTCTTTAGTGGTCTAGATTTTCTTTTGCCCACAAGTTCTTGAACCTTAAGATTCTGAATATCATTGAATTTATGTCTACGGAAATTCTTAGAAACTGTAGGATTGAGATTACTTTTGGTACTAAAATGATTTGACTCCATTACCATACCAACTGTATGCAGGTCTTCCTCATGAAGTATCCTTCCTTTAAAGGAACAGTCTGAGTCTTGCAACATGGTTTCCTGTGCAATTGTACCTCTTGTGTTTATTCGCTTACTCTTCTTTGAGATTCTTTTGGTTACAGACTCCTCATCCTGATACCTAGAGTTGATCATTTGCTGCTGTGATTTCTTCTTCTTTTTGCTGGCAGGAGATGACAAGATCTGCTTTCCATTCTCTGGAGGTTCTGTTAAACCGCACTGTGCAAATTCATTAATTAGTCTGTCAATTCTTGTGGCTACAGTAGAGGACTCTACTGAAGCTGGAGCCTCAGAAATACTTTTGTCAGTTTCAGAGTTGTTACGTGAACAATGACTTGCCTCTGCTAAAACAGGACTGAACCTATCATTTGTATTATCATAAGTTCTGAAGTTCTTTGTATCAGTTTTATTGTCTGATATTACACTATCAACTATACCTTTCTCCTCAGTAGAATTCTCTGACATAGCTGATGGCAAGCCATTATTATGGGACATCTTTAACATCTTCTGACTTGTAATTTCTATCACACCAGCACTTACTGCACTTGCCCTGAGGAGTCTGCGCTGCTTTATTCTTTCCAAAGGTGACTCCATCTGCTCATTGTTACTGATCTGAACAAGTACAGGTTTGTTAGATAATGATGACATTTTACTACAAGAATGTGTGAACATGTGGTACTCTGATTTGTTTTCCCCACCTTCCCTTTTTTCACTATAGGAAAACTGTTTCTCTTGGACTTCTGTTTCAGATACTAAGGTCACACTCCCTATCACAGATTTCTTTTGTCTCACTCTCCTTGGTCCAGGTGTTGGGGGCCTATAAAAATGATGCTTCACTTGAGCCTGAGTTCCCCGAACAACATCTGTGTCCATAGCAGCATTCTCCCAACTGGCAGAACTGCAAGTTTCAGCATCTTGATCTGTCATTTGAGTTTTTCCTTCCTCTGCCAAACCGACCTCTTGATTATCGCCAGAGACATCTGCAGACAATGAACACGCTGCAAGCTTTAAACTAGATGATCGATCATCTGCTCTTCCTGGACAACTGCTTACCTCACTCCTTTCATCATTATTTAGAAGACCTGCTCTATTGATGGTGGTTGTCCACTTGACAGTTTCCTTTTCTTTTATTTTGAATCGAACTTTCATCTCAACTGTCATGGTACCATCTTGATTAAAAATAATTGCTTTCTCAATATCATCTTCAGAAGGATATATTGATAAATTCTGAGAATCACGTTTTTCTAAGCTCAAGCAATTTTCAGGAGCAAAAGAACAGTCTGAGTAGCAATCATGTGTTTTATCAGAAGAAACAGAATAAATCTGGGATCTTGGGATTAAGGGTATATGTGCACTCACTTTTAAAGTTTTAAGAGTATAAGATGCCCACATCAAAATACAAGTAGAAGATAGAGAAGTTATAAATATCCAATGAAAGAGGGAGCATGGAAAAAAGAAAAGAAAACAATTAGTACAAAAATACTACAGTCTCTGTATTTCACAATACAATGTTACTGATAATTTTCTAAACTCTATGTATTCAATGGCTGTTTGAGAAAATTTACCATAGTTCCTTATACAGTTCCTTTGAATATCTCTTAAAAGAAATCTGTAGCTCTACACTGATTTACAGACTTTTAACTGTTTTAATAAGGTAATTTTAACAAGAAACATAGAACTTGCAAACTGCTAACAATTCTACTAATAAAAGGCTTTTGTAGGCTTTTTTAGTTTGCTTACCAGTTCTAAAACATGCCTAACCAAGTACTGTTTATCCATTTAAACAAAGCAAGTAACAGTATGTGGTGGTATTTTATCTATGTATATAAAAGAAACACATTTATAATTTTATGAAAGTAGAAACATTTTGAATATTTAGACTGAAAATCAATTAATAATTAATTTACAGTTCACTTTGTCTAATTAATGCAGTTGATTTACTATATGACATACAAAGAACATGGGTCTGGATATTAAAGTTAATGTGTATCCTTATTATTAAACTTGGCACTCCTTTCTTAAAGTCAGTCAAGTTATTAGTCTTCATCATGGATTTGCACACGCTAACCACCAAGTAATCATCTTTAATGTTTCAGAGTATAAATCTGAATATATTTGTGTTACTTTCAGTATACTTTTGCTAAAATTATAAATCAAAATCCTTCACCCATAACTTTTAGAAGTAAAATTTAACAAGCCCTTAGATTCCCTGAAGTCACCAAAAATCTACCAGACACAAAATAGTAAAATTACTTTAATAAATAACAAAGGTGAAATATTGTGCCACCATATGCATAATGTACTCATGTATTTGACAGCCTAATACCTGCAACATAGGAACATTAATAATTACCTATTGTGTATAGCCATGAAATAATTCAATGACAAAAAATGAGTTTTACCTACATTAGAAAAAATATATAGCATAGCATCTCTTAAAATGCAAATTATTCCATGTCTACAAAGAGTGAGAGGGCTAGAGATATAGCTCAGCAGCACAAGTGCCTGCCTGGCAAATGCAAGGTCCTGAGTTCCATTCTCAGTAACAACAACAACCAAAAAAAAGAGTATTAAAAAGAGTAAGAATCTAAATTCAACTATATATGGCAATCAGTATATTAGCAGAAAGAGTTAAAGCTTCCCTGCAAATACTGAGCACAATCAAAACTCCCATACCCTTGAGCCTAAGGGCCCTCTTCTTTCCCTACTCAAAGGCCCAAGCCACACTTATTTACCAGCTATGAAGGAAATGACAACCCAGATCAGCACTGGCGAACCTATGGCACACGTGCTGCACCAAGCATGCAGTACCCTCTGTGTCTGTACACAAGCTAAGTCACCCAGTATTGTCCAGCAGCTGAGCATTCAAATCTAACTGCAGTGTTGGCACTTTGTGATAAGTAAGTGGGTTTTGGGTTGCCGTCTGGGCACTTGGTCTCTAAAAGGTTCACCATCACCGACCTAAATTTTTGTTAACCAGCATGAATTGGCTACCTTACCTTTCTTTTTTTTTTTTTTTTTTTTTTGAGATAGGGACTCGCTAAATTTCCCCAGCAGGACTCAAACTTGTGATCCTCCTGCTTTAGCCTCCTACAGCATGGGGATTACAGGCACGAACCACCATGCCAGACTCCAAATATTTATTTAATAAATAAAATTGTGGTTCTAAGGACCTATGACTTTTTTACACTTCACAAGGCAGAAAATACAGATAGATTTCAAAACATACAGTCAATCCACTACTCACTGATCTCAGCTAAGAATACTGCAAAAAATTCTGCAACTACCAGACTCCATAAAATTCCTCTCCAAAGCAAAAAATTCTTTTTTTTTTTTTTTTTTTTTTTTGGTTTTTGGTTTTTCTCCGGTACCGGGAACTGAACTCACGACCTTGCGCTTGCCAGGCAGGCGCTTCGCCGCTGAGCTAAATCCCCGGCCCCCCAAAGCAAGAAATTCTAGCATTCTGATTTAACTAAGTATTTTATGCAAAAACAAAAAGCCAACGAAGACAGCATAACATCAATTTAAACAGTTACATCATCAAGTAATTTGAAAAAGTCTTTAGAAATTATTAGATAATCCCTATGACTCTTTCCAACTGTAATTAATTTCATTTTAGAATATTTTAATCCTCTATACTTTCTATGTTAATGAAAATGGTCATTTAAGTGCAAATTTCTTGTTGCTAGGGTGAAAATAATATCAGGACTAAAAATAAGTCTTATATATTTATAAATGACTTACTCTTTCTGTTTTCTGATTTAGCATTTCCCTTCCGGCGCACACGATGAGGGATCCCTGGTAATCTAGCAGGAAGCAAGAACTTTTGGGTGTCATAATTCCCCGGTTTAAATGGCTCCCTTCCTGCGGCCACCACCGCTCCGGAGCTCAGGATCACTGCCTGGAGACTGGGAACCTAGAAGAAACCAAAGGATCATGGTCTTCCATGAGCAAGGTTTGCTCCTTTTATGTGATGATTCTATAATTTTGAGTGAATCAGTGTAAGAACCTCCCAGGCTTGAAAGAGACCATCGCCAAGCATTTTCTTGGGCTCTAATGATGTACAACAAATAACTGGACAGACAAACGTGCGTTAAGCCTATATATGGCTAAAGAGAGGCCGGCTGATCTTCCTGCGTAACTAAAGACGTATTTACAGGTGTGACACCCCCCACCGAAGTCCACAGCCCCGCCCCCGGAAGCAGCTGGGCAAGGGCCCCTGTGGACGCGTCTGGGCCCGGAAGGCGACCTCCTGTGGGCACAGACCCCGGAGTGCTCACCTTCCTTCCGTCTGTGGCGTACAGCTTGGCCACCGGGTACTGCATGACCGCCGTCAGGTGCCGCAGAAAGGCCTCGAAGCTCTGCGTGACCTTCCTGCTGAGCAGCACGGCGCTCCTCGTCCCGGGGTCGCCATTTCTGAAGACCAGCAGCCTCCGCGGCGCGCGGGGCACGCCGGGAGCG